TCTCGTACACCGCGTCCTTGTCATGCTCTGTTGATGATCGTGTGTATAAGGCGGGCTCTGGGTACGTGAATGTGGCATAGTCTAGCTCCATTTAAAGATTAGCTACCTCCACAAAAATAAAATCTACAGGTATGGGTGGTGGTGGTGATGATGGTGAGGGTAGTGATGGTAATGGTGATCATGGTGCCGACGATGATGACAGTGATGATGGTGACAGTGATGATTGTATTATTTACATACCCAAATTGGGACGTCCATTCCCAACATTGCAGGATGTTCGATGGCTGCCAATGCCAACAACGCAAGAGAGGCAACAACATCAAGAACTTTATACAACGTTGTGTGAACAATAAGATAACATAGAAAACGAGATTTGTCAAGATGGTCGTTGAATGCATGATACTTCTCATTGGCTGCCCCTTTTTCCAAATAGATAGCAGCTTCCTAAATGAAACCATATTTAACCCATTAAGCCACAATGTGTCTTCATGTTCCCTACTTCACCCTGTTTAACACCAAACTAAGGTTTTCAGGGGCGAAACTTCAGTATTATGGCTGGGAGTGTGAGCTTGTTTTGCCCGACCAAAAGGGCATGGATGAAGTCGTGCCCGACGGACGAACATTTCATGAACATTTTTCCCTAACTTTCGAAATAATGTACTGTACCGTAATTTGTAAAATTTTCAGTAATATTTTTCATAAATTTATCAAAATTTTTTCTACAACTATTGCTTTTCAATCCAAGACAGTCAAATATTTTCAGAATTTGCCCAACGAAATTGAATCAATATATCCGACGATCGAGATAGAGAGGGGGTGTCACATCCCCCGATAGTTTTGCCCCTGTTCCTAAATCCTAATTGTAATACCTTGGCGTAGAAGCAGTTTGCCAATTGGCACATCATAAGCAAAGGACTCAGGGGTGATATAATGTAAATATTTCAAGACACAAAACAGATGAATGTAATAAACAACAAAAGTTGGCAATAATTTCCGCATAAATAGGGTTCACATTATTGTACTTGCCTGAAATGCATACTGTTCTTGCGAATCTGAAATGACGGGAAATTGAAATGAAAAATTTAGGCCAGGTTTATATAGCAATGCTATGCATGAGCACACCGGACCAATTACTTAACTAATAAGTTCGCTCATAGCACGCTATCTAAATCAAATTGGTTCACTCTCTAAATAATATTATAGATTCGCTCCTGACCGTGCGGCTCGCTCGTCGAAGGCGTGCCGAACGCTCATAGCACGGTTAACACGCCCTTGATTTAAACCACAGCGCCATCAGCGAACCATATATTTGCAACAGTTAATGAGACGTCATATATTATATTAATATGTTACGCTCCTTATACACCCAGACTCTTTATCTCAACTTTGGCTCGCACAGATACGTTACGTATAAATCAGAATGCGTGCTAAAGCCCTGGACAAACTAGGAATATTGTTGCGGAAACATTGTTTCCTACCAATGTTTCACCATGTTTCCAAGAGTGGGCAAACATTAGTGAGAAACATTAGTGAGAAACATTAGTGAGAAACATGGGGAAACATCAAATGTTTCTGAATTCGCTAGGAAACATTTTTGCTTCTCGGGAAGCAAATTTTGTTTCCGCAACATGGTTTCCATGGGTGGGCAAACAGGTAAACATTTGAGGAAACATCAAGAATCACAAATGTTTCCACAACAATGTTTCCTAGTTTGCCCAGGGTCTTAATATAGTGTTACTACCTGGCCATGCTAATTTAAAAATTGGTTCGGTTCGCTCATAGCACGCTGTATATAAACCAGGGGCCGGTTGTATAAAACTCTTAAATTAATCAATTTTTTAATCACTATTTTGTAGTTAAATAGTGATTAACTCTCAAACAAGCGCTTCTTATTGGTTGACGTTTGCACTTAACTATAGTTAACTTTTAATTAATCACTTTTTTATACAACCGGCCCCTGGCCTTAGGAATCAATATTCATTTAATTTAAATTTATACCTACAAAGGGCTTTTTATTTGCCAGACAAATGCGACTTTAAATTGACAAATTCATATAGCTACTTTTCCTTTCTTGAGATATTTTTTATACGTATTTAATATTAAGTCATTTTTTATACGTTCATATAATTAAGTCGTGCAATATCTAATAGATTAAAGTGATAAACGTCTATCAAAATATTCTAACTATACAAAAGACTACGGCATATAAAACTATTCAAGCATTCAATCCTTATTTATTTTACTTCCATGTAAATGTATACTTTATTTAATTGAATATATGTCTATTTTATATACAAAGACATGCAATATAACTAAATACCTAAATATCCTTACCAACTCGGCTTCCTGAACGTTGTGAACGATTATATACTGATGTATTTACATCAGAATTTTCCTCGTCTGTTCGTCTTTCGTTTTCGGGGCTATCAACTAATTCCATATCTCGATTCAAAAGGCCATCGTTATCGGAAATCATTCAATCCAGAATTTACACGCGAATTCAAGTCCCAACGCGTTTAATAATATTAGTCAAAATTTTGACATGCAAGCAGGGGTCAATATTTGTGAAAAATGTTGTTGATATTGCACTTTTAATTAATTAATTTTTGAAGTTGATTTGCGACACTAGTTCCGGCCACATGGTTCCGGCTTGTTCCTGATTCAATAACCTCGGGGAAAGTTCGAGAAACTGATACCAGTACAGTATTCCCCCAGGCATAGACACGTGAGCAAATCTCACAAATCATCTCACAAGTCTGCTACACAAGCAAAAATCTCACATCTTGTAGCAAGTCTGCCAACAAGCAGTCAACAAGTAGTGTTCGCACTGCTTGTCCCAAGTTGTCAACAAGTTTGGAACAAGCTGTTGACAATTTGTAACAACCTTGTTGATATTATCAGACTTGTTGCAAGGTTGTTCCAACAAGTCCGATATAATCATGATATAACAATATTGTTACAACCTTGTGTCATCAACCTTGTAACATTCTTGTTTATCATGACGTTATCGGACTTGTTAGAAGATCTTAGAACAACCTTGTGAGTTGTGACAAATCTGATGCCATCAAGCTTGTTACAAGTTTTTTTCTGTGTTGGTCTTGTGTACTCAGGTGAATATGATATTTGTGATGTTATTCTGAGTGTATATCCACACCGGGCGAGCTTGAAAAATATGCCCGGCCACGGTGGGATTCGAACCTACGACCTTTGGAATACTAGCCCAATGCTCTTCCAACTGAGCTTCCAGCTTGTTCCAAACTTGTTACAACAACTGGGAACAAGCAGTGCGAAGACAACTTGTTGACAGCTTGTGAACAGATTTGTGGCAACTTGTTTGCAAACTTGTAACAACTTGTGCGTTTTTTCGTGCGTACACGCGTAAAAATCTCACATCTTGTAGCGAGTTTGTCAACAAGCCGTGAACAACTTGTCTTCGCACTGCTTGTCACAAGTTGTCGACAAGTTTGGAACAAGCTGTCAACAATTTGTAACAACCTTGTTGGTGTTATCGGGCTTGTTACAAGGTTGTTCCAACCAGTCCGATGCAGTCATGATATAGCAGTATTGCTACAACTTTGTGTCGTCAACCTTGTAACATTCTTGTTTATCATGACTGTATCAGACTTGTTAGAACAACCTTGTAGTGACAAGTCTGATAATGCCATCATGCTTGCTACAAGTTGTCAACAGCTTGTTCCAAACTTGTTCCAACAACTGGGAACAAGCAGTGCGAACACAACTTGTTGACAGCTTGTGAACAGATTTGTAACAACTTGTTTGCAGACTTGTAAGAACTTGTGCGTTTTTACGTGTGTAACTGAAGCCGTCAACAAGTTGTGTTCGTACTGCTTGTCCCAAATCTGTGCCCAAGTTGTCAACAAGTTTGGAACAAGCTGTTAACAACTTGGAACAATTAAGCTTGATGGCATTATCAGACTTGTTACAAGGTTGTTCTTACAAGTTAGAACAACCTTGTAACAAGTCTGATAATGCAATCAAGCTTGTTACAATTTGTTAACAGCTTGTTCCAAACTTGTTACAACAACTGGGAACAAGCAGTGCGAACACACGTAAAAACACACAAGTTGTTACAGGTCTGCAAACAAGTTGGTACAAATCTGTTCACAAGCTGTCAACAAGTTGTCTCCGCACTGCTTGTTCCCAGTTGTCGTAACAAGTTTGGAACAAGCTGTTAACAACTTGTAACAAGCTTGATGGCATTATCAGATTTGTCACAAGGTTGTTCTAACAAGTCTGATACAGTCATGATAAACAAGAATGTTACAAGGTTGACGACACAAGGTTGTAACAATATTGTTATATCATGACTGCATCGGACTTGTTGGAACAACCTTGTATAACAAGCCTGATAATATCAACAAGGTTGTTACAAATTGTTAACAGCTTGTTCGAAACTTGTTGACAACTTGGGACAAACAGTGCGAAGACAACTTGTTGACGGCTTGTTACAAGATGTGAGATTTTTGCGTGTGTATTTGACAACTTGTGAACAGTTTTGTGACAGCTTGCAATTTGCAGACCTGTAACAACTTGTGCAGTTGTGTTACAGGTCTGCAAACAAGTTGTTACAGGTCTGCAAACAAGTTGTTACAAATCTGTTCACAAGCTGTCGACAAGTTTTGTTCGCACCGGCTTGTTCCCAGTTGTTGTAACAAGTTTGGAACAAGCTGTTAACAACTTGTAACAAGCTCTTGCTGGCATTATCAGACTTGTTACAAGGTTGTTCTAACAAATCTGATACAGTCATGATATAACAAGGATGTTAAAGGTTGACGACACGAGATTGCAACAATATTGTAAAATCATGATTGTATCGGACTTGTTGGAACAACCTTGCAACAAGTCTGATAATATCAACAAGGTTGTTACAAGTTGTTAACAGTTTGTTCCAAACTTGTTGACAACTTGGGACAAGCAGTGCGAACACAACTTGTTGACAGCTTGTTGGCAAACTCCTACAAGATGCGAGATTTTTACGCGTGCAGATATATCATGGTACATGAACTTGTGGTTAACTGTTAACAGTGGCGGCGGAACGGCTTTTTTTGCGGGGGGGGAGGATAGACTGGGGCTAATTTTGTCATAAATTTGTCGGACGTTCATGAAATTGCCAGACGTAGAAAAATGTTTTCTTTAGAACATTTTTTCCCCAAAATTGTTAGCGTATCAGTTTTATCATGAAATTTTCCCGGAGTTGTTATCATCTTGCAACAAGGTTGATGAGGCCAACAGACTCGCAACAAGTTGTTCCAACAAGTCTGATATCGTCTGTACGTAACAAGTTGTTAACAAGTTGATGACAACAAGCTCGTAGCAACTTGTTACGAACACCCTGTCCTAGAAGCCAAGGCTTATTAATTATTAAGCCTGAATTAGTCTTGTTGGAACAACTTGTAGCAAGTCTATTACTGTCATCAACCTTGGAAGAAGGTGATATAACAACTTGTTCCAGACTTTAATATCACAACAACTGGGAACAAGCAGAGCGAACACATCCTGATATCGGCTTGACAACAACCTAGTTTAATTAATTTTCTTTGCATAAGGGTACTGGGTACATTATTTGACGATTAGACGGCACGCAAACTTTTAGAAAACTGTTATAATTTATAAATTATGATATATCTTAAATAACACATTAAAGTGTTTAATATTACTTCTAAAATATCAGTCTAAACGTTAATGTAAAATGTTATTAGAATTTCTTACTAATACAATCTTATATCTTTGCATTTCAAGGCAATGGTGAATGGCCAACATGTGGACGGCCACCGAGGGGAAACCTTCCCCTTTCCTATATACTCAACTACATACTTAGCATGCAATGTTTTATGATCCATTATTCACAGTCGGTTCGATGACAGTCAGTTCTGCGCATGCTTACATTGGAATCCCCAGCTCCACAATGGACCTATGATGATCTAGACAAGTCTAGGCATAAATTTCATCACAGCTTGAAAGAGCATCACAAAATTAGTAATATTCCGAAGTTTCGTTGCGAAATGTTGTAAAATGCGGATAATATAGCCCTGCGAAGTTTGCCGTTTTTCAGTCTAGTCATTTTGTATTACGCACGGGAAATTGATACCTTTTTTCAGAAAGCGTATCAATTTCCCGTGCGTAATTCAAAATGACTGAAAAACGGCAAACTTCACTGGACTATATTATCCGCATTTTACAACATTTCGCAACGAAACTTCGGAATATTACTAATTTTGTGATGCTCTTTCAAGCTGTGATGAAATTTGTGTCTAGACTTGTCTAGATCAAAATTTTGTTAATTAGGAAATAGGCCAAAAATGTAAAGAAAGCTGATTTTGTGTGAACTGTACTGCATAGATCTTTAATAAATTAATAGATATTTTAATTCTAACGTGTCGACCATTTTGCCGCTTATTAATATAAAACTCCAAATACCAACAGTATTTGACTTCCACTCCCGCTACCACTAAGGAAGCACTGACCAATCAGATACATTTGAACTATCCCATTAACCAATGAGATGCGGACTAAGCCAGTGAAAGGTGGTAGTCAAATCTGAACCTTTGGCCAACGCTCATTGGCCCATACTCATGCAGACAAAGCTATGACTATTTCTCGTAAATGTTTCCATCAAGGCTATCATTAGAAGCTATTCTAAAGTAATGTTACAAGCCCTTATACTTTTTTTGCTAAGATCAATGTTTTATCCATTATGTAACACGAAAAAAGATTCATAATGCATTATCGCGTCGTGAAAAGCCTTTCTATAAGGAGAGCTAAAACCCAATCACACGATTACACAACAATCAGTCTTAAATATAGATATCGTACGACGTTTTGTGTGATTTACAGATGCCTCAACACATCTTTCGGTTGACCTTTCACGGGACTTACTGCCATTCCGTTTACGAACTTCCGTGTCCGGTTTTTCCGTGTCCGATTTCTCCGTGTCCGGTTTTTCCGTGTCCGGTTTCTCCTCGTTTTGATTGGTCAGACTTAGATACGCACTTTCCTCGGCTTCCCTACCGGTAATGATGCCATTTCCTTCCAGCTTTCCTTCGTCCAGTTTATCTGATTTTTCTTCCGGTTCAGGTTTGTCTTCTTCCTGTTCCGGCTTGTCTACTTCCAGTTCCGACTTGTCTTCTTCCGCTTCCGGCTTGTCTTCTTCCGGTTCTGGCTTCTCTTCTTCTGGTTCTGCCTTGTCGTCTTCCTCGTCCGGGTGTTGAACAGTCTGCTCCGTATCTTTTACATCCAGTTCCGGGTTTTCCACTTCCTGCTCTGAGGTTTTAACTTCCGTTTCCGGTACTTTTCCTTCCGAGAGGAGGACATCTACTTCCGGTTCTCGATCTTCTAATTCTTCCGTCTTTTCAGTGCCGTGTTTTTCTTCTTCACCTTCTAATTCTTGTTGCATCGCTTCTGCTTCATTCAGATGATTTGCAATCTCGGCAACATCTTCATTTTCCATGTGTCTATCAGCATGCAAGTTTGTTTCAGTTTCGTCCCCATGAAGTAAATGCAGGTCTTCTTGTTTCAAGGCTGAGGCATGGTCGTCAACAGCAACAATTGTTTGTTCAATTGTGTCATCATCCTAGAACAAAAATCTAATTTAGTCATTGTCCATAAATATTCGTTTTTTGAAAATTTGTTTAGTGAAATTGTCATGGTTTATTCAAACCTTATTCAAACGTTAGCTTAATTATATTTCCGGCGTTACTAATTGACGTCATTATGTAGTGGTAATTAATTCATATGCATGTTTAATTAGCATTCTTGTTATTGCACCAGACTTTACCAAGTTGTTTTTGTCATTATCGTTAAACAGTCGTCAGAGTTAGACCATTATCACTCTACTATTGAACTATCTTGGATATAGACTCGGGACAGACAACTTAGACTTTTTACCGAGAACACAACTACATTGTCTTAGTGTTATTTCGTTTCGTTAATCTCTGTCTGTAATTGGACTGTATATTATATTAATAAATACTACGTGCAGAATGTGTTTCGGTTATTACTTCGTTCTTAATTTTAATCGAAAGACGCGATAGAAATGGTTAGCCAAAAAGAAGACCAGTTCCAGACAGAAGCATGGTCTGTTCTCACATGAAACTTTTATGAAGTTTTTACCGAGCATTTGAATGTTTCGATGAGCTCACTGTGAGGCTAAACATGATTGGCTGATGCCCTGATCAGATAAAAAGCTACCAAATACTCGTTGCAAACACTGAAGTGTCACGTGAGTGTAGACAATGTTGTTTTTTTCTTGGTGACTGTTCATGCTTAGTATTAGATGTAATGCCTGGTTTTAATATGGTCGTACGTAAAAATAGAGTCACGATCTTTCTCAATGGCCAGTTTATAATAGTTTATACCTGTAAACCACATATAAATCATACGTATTCTATAGTTTAATCACTCCGCGTATTTTCAGTTCTAAAATGTTGTATTTCGGCTGATGAGAAAGATCGTGACTCAATCTTTACGACCGTTACGACCATATGGAGACCAGGCTTAAACGACGTCAGTAGACTTAGCAATTCACCTGATCATTGCATGCTTCCACATCAGGAGAAATCTCCACAGTTATTTCATCTTGAGACGCGATGACTTCATCTAATACAGGTTCGGCAACAGTTTCGACAGTGGATTTACTGGGCTCATTCTGAGAATCTGCTTGCTCTTCGTGCTCCAAAAGAACATCACCCGGTTTTTCTATTTCGTGATCCTTGACCTCGGATATTTGTACCTCGGGAATTTGCAAGTCGTGATGTTCATCCTCAGGTTTTTGTACCTCGTGATCTTCATCCTCGGGTTTTTGTACCTCTTGATGTTCATCCTCGGGTTTTTGCACCTCGTGATGTTCATCCTCGGGTTTTCGCACCTCGTGATGTTCATCTTTGGGTTTTTGTACCTCGTGATGTTCATCCTCAAGATTTTGTACACCGGACTTTTGTACCTCGGAACTTTCTCGCTTCGGTTTGTCATCTTTTGGTTGGTTCTCTTTTACGATTCCCAGGAGACTTTCTTTCGGTAGTTGAGCTTCGGCTTCATTTGTAGTAGGAGTGGATTTATCACGTGATTCTCCAGAACTACTTCGCTCCGCCTTCGCCTTTTCCAGAGACTGGGTTTCGCTAGATTTCTGTGTGTGACCGCTGTCCTTTTTGGTCTTGCTGACCGAAGTCTTCTCTGCGTTGGGAGGCTGGGGAGCAGTTTCGTGTGGCGTTGCATCATCGCTATGTTTAGCTTGTTTCTTTCCTTTCTTAAACAACTTGAACGGTTTTTTGTGTTTCTTCTCCGAGTTCTCGTCCGCTTCAGACGAAGTGATAGTCGCTAGAATCACAAAAAGAATGAATAAATTCACCTTATTCGTACTAGATTCTGGATAGCTTTGTCAGCCTGTTCTTAATCTTCCTAGAATATATAAATCTCTCGTCTCTAGTGTATATAAATCGGGGAAATATTGATCAAATTACAAAAACTCACTTTTTGAGGAACTTTTGCTGTCAAGAACTTCTTCCTTATTTTCACTTTTAGATTTTGATTTTTTCTCTTTCTTATCTTCCTTCTTTCCTTCCTTCTTACTTTCTTTTTTACTTCCATTTTCCGCCGTTTCCTCCGTGTGTTTCTTGTCGTCGTTCTCATGTTTCGACTTGGATGTTTTCTCTTTCTTATCTTCTTTCTTGCTAGTGGAATGAAGTGGAATGAACATATAAACAACATAGTTTAAAAAGCTAGCAAGAGATCGAGCACACGGTGTATCAAAAAAAGGTAATCGAACTTCAGCGCGCTATTATACGTGAATTACTTGGCGCATGAACAATTGGTTTTCATATTCGGAAAGATCAGGCTTTTAGCTATTGAATGACATGCTTTTCATGACAAGTGGAGAAAAAATAGGCATGTACGAGGCCGATTAAAAATGTTAGTCAAAATCGCATATTTTCACCTCTGTGCCTAATTAAAACAATGCATAACAAAAGAAATTAAAAGCAATTAATCACGAACGTGTCGTATATAGCTTAGCTAAGATTTATTCCGACTTGATAATTATTATGAATATGTGTTATCGGATTCGTATTTGCTCATCCATTTGGCATGAAGAAGATATCATTCAACAGCTAAAAGCATGATCTTTCCGAATGTGTTAAAATCTCGTTCATACGCAGAGTAATTCGGATACAATAGCGCGCTGAAGTTCGATTACCTTTTTTTTGATACACCCTGTATATACTACCATTATTAGACCTGTTTTGGAGTACGCGTGCCAGGTCTGGCATTTCAATATCCAACAATATTTATGTGAAGATATTGAAAAAATACAAAAAACGTGCGTTGAGAATCACCCTTCCATCGCAAAAGTATGACGAAGCGCTGATCACGACTAACATCACGTCGCTGAAAGATCGCCGAGAAAAATTATGCGATCATTTCTTTGAGAAGAATATTGACAATGAAAATCTCAAAGATCTTTTACCACAAACAATTTTAGCTGGATATGACTAAGACCGATATATGTAAATATCATAATTATGTTTGTAGAACTGAACGTTTTAAGAATTCGTTTTACCTCAAAGTATATTAAAGATTAACAGTAAATAAGTTTTTAGAAATGTAAATAATCTTAAATATGTAATTATTATGTAATTTTAACTTCTCTTAATTTATGTAATACTGGTGTAATTTAACCTTTTTGGGTTACAAAGTCAGTAATCATTAAATCAATTCAATTCAATTCAAAAAGAGAGAAACAATAGAGCGTTTGCACTCATTCCCCAGGGACCAACTCAACAAAAGCCATGGCGGCCATGTTGGTTTTCCAGTTTCGGAACTTCGTGTTTCACATGTTTATCTCGATAATTCTAGTTCCAGTTTTCCCTTGCTTGTGTTGGTTTTATCCGTCTCAATGCGAATTTAAGACGAGTTTCTCGTCTAGATGCGATTCTGCAGCCTAGACCTAGGCCTTTACTCGGCTGGCTTTGGGCAATTTCGGGCTAGCATTTGGTAAGTATCGGCATGGGCTAACACCACTGCAAATAACATCCGCAGACTTCAAGCAGTACAGAACTTTGCCGCCCGAATTATCACTAAATCAAGAAAATTTGACCACATAACACCCTTGTTAACTGAACTGCACTGGATTCCCGTTAAACTGTACTTACTCTACCGTGACGCTGTTTTGACATTCAAATGTCTAAACGGAATAACACCGGAATCTTTGTCTCAACAATTTGTGAGGAGAGTCGACATCAGTGGACGTTGCACGAGGAACTCAAGTTCTTTAAACATCCCCTTTTTCAGGAGTGCAACTGGCCAACAGACATTCTATTACCGTGCTGTCTCCTTATGGAACGAACTTCCAGAGAACATTAAATGTAGTTCATCAGTTAACATTTTTAAACATAAATTACGTAAATATCTTTTAGGAAATCATTCATAGTAGCATTTGGCCTTTAACGATTTTTACATCCATACCAGTAATTAGTTAGTTAGAATTTCATGTTAGTATATCTTATAATTTTTTGTAAATGTTAATTGGCTCCGAAAAGCCCCGTTGGGGAGAGTTCAATAAATTATTGTAAATTATTGTATGGTATTTGGTGTTGTCCCAGTCTTCTCATGTGAAAAAGCGCTGAATATTAAAAAATAATAAAAATAGAAGGCCTAGGTCTAGGCTGGGGATTCTGGTCTGTTTGGACGGAATGTTGAGACGGAAATCTCGGCGGTTGCCGGATTTATATCAGACGACTTTCCTGTCTTAGCCGAGTTTCTCGCCTCTAATGTGAATTCGGCTAGTCTCATAGGCGTACGAGACAGGGCGGCAGGGGGCAACTGGCCCCTCCACCCAAGAAAAAAACAACTGTAGCAAATCATGGAAATTCGGGGTTTTCGGGCAAATGCTAGGAAAAATCAAGAAAATTCAGGCAGATTTATCAGAAAATATGCTAAATTCAGGTTACTTCATTCAATCCTCCATAAAAATTCGGGCACTGAACTCTCAACTCCCCCGGGGAGCGTCAGCCCTGTACGCCTATGGCTAGTCTTTCTCATTTCGATTCTGGTAATCTGGTTTAAAACCCAAGCCGGTTACAGACGAGCAAGTTTTCTATGACAACTTTTTATGTGACAAGTTTTATTTGCTCATCTGTACGCGCAACTTTGACAATTTTTTCTCTGACAATTGACAAGTGCACTTGTTCAAAAGCTAGCATGCTAGCTTTTGAACAAGTGCACTTGTCATAGAAAAAATTGTCAAAGTACAAATTTTGTTCGTCTGTATGGGTCAACAAAGAAAACTTGTCAAAGTAATCTGAGCATTTGATGTGATTGGCCAGCACTCGCGTTGTCCGCTGTACTATTACATTGCTGGCTACTAATAAATTGTCAAAGTAAACTTGTTGACACGTTCACACCAGTATAACACTTGTTGCATATGTATACACGTGCACTTGGCAAATAAAACTTGTCACATAAAAACTTGTCATAGAAAACTTGCTCGTCTATAACCGGCTGAAGAACTCAAATATGTTTCTAGTGCAAAGTTACTTTAGACTACGTATCCGATACGGAATGTTCGCTAAATATACTCAGAGCGCCTAAGCGAAATAACATCTCTCCGTTGCAATAATATATTCCTCTGGTGTTTTTTTACGTCTCTACAGGAAGCTATCCGGTAATACTCACACATCCTTTTTGTGTTCTTTTTTTTCTTTCTTGTTTTCCTTTTTTGAACCATCTCCGTCTCCTTTCTTCTCGTCCTGTTTGTCGCCACTCTTGTCTTTTTTATGTTGTCTTTTGTCATCCTTCTTCCCTTCCTTCTTACCTTTGAACAATTTGAGTAATTTAGTTTTGATTGGCAGCGTTTGACATTGTCCTGCCTCACACGTGCTATACACGGAACACGTGCTATACACGGAACACGTGCTATACACATGACATACACGTGCTGATCAACTGAGTAAATACTGTTATGCGTTTAAGCAAATACTGCTTCCACTAAAAAATGAGTAAATTTGCACATACTGCTTCCACTAAAAAATGAGTAAATTTGCACATAAATTTGAGTAATTTTACTCACTCAAGTTTTTACCCAAGTTTTTTTTTGCAGTGAAGATCAATACTTTAACTGAAACCTATCTGGCATCTATACAATAAGTCATTATACAGATCAAAGTAGTGGTACCTTCTTTTTTACTTTCTGCTTTGTCTGATTTCTTATCTTTTGTCTCGTCTTTTGGCGTCTCTTCCTTCCCCTTGCTATCTTTCTTCGTTTCTTTGCCTTTAGTTTTGCTTTCAGATTTCGTGGCTTTTCCAAACAAGCCTTTCTTCTTGTGTTTCTCTGTTCCTGCAGGAACCACCTTGTTTCCGTCTACTTCGTCTGGTAACTGTTTAGAATCATGTGATGTAGCCATTATGTCTTTTTGGTTGGATGCTTTAGCTTCACAAAACAGTCTGGAGGAGAACAAATTGTCGATGAAAACGTGTATAGGTACAGGGTTTTCGTTAACACATTAACTTTGCTTTTATTGGACAGTTCTATCAATGATCTAAACTGCTCTCCTGGAGGTCCAGAATTGAACCGAACCCTTCCTGATCCAGTGTTACCACAAGAGGAAACTTATACTAATTCTATACGCTGGATAGCTCAATCTGTTCAAACTATTTTCTCTAGGGGTCTAGTACAGAAGTCGTCCCTTATTGATCCAGTGTTGCTACAGGAGGAAACCTAAACTAAACTATAACTTTAATTATACTGGATAGCTCTATCAGATCTAACTGTTCTCGTGAGGTCCAGTAAGGATCATCTCTTATTGATCCAGTGTTACTACAGGAAGAAACCTAAACTAAACTAACTTTATTTATACTGGATAGCTCTATCAGTTCTAAACTGTTCTTCCTAGAGGTCCAGTAAGAGTCATCTCTTATTGATCCAGTGTTACTATAGGAGGAAACCTAAACTAGACTAAATTTGTTTAATAATGTAACTTTATAAGTACAAATATTTACACGTCGTTTTACAATGTCCGAAATTACTTAGAATCGTACGTGCTTCAACAGACAACAATTCACTCACTTTACACTGTTATAACAAACTCTGCGACTTTACCCACACTCCACAATGCGATACACACAACTCTCAATTCTACTTATACACACACACACACACACACACACACACACACACACTTTTAGCCTATATTGATTCAGACGTTTCCCTTGTGCAAAAGCGACACGTTCACTAATATTTTGTTCCTATTTTGTGTTCCGTAATATCACTGCACTCATGACAAGGTCGGAAGAGATTATTTCCCTGGCCTTAGAGTGACAAAACGTAACAAAGCAACGGTTTTACTAACACTAACCCTATTCCAAACACCAACTCTAACCCTAACCCTAACTTAGCCAGTCCAAGTTTGTTTCTAAACCAATCTTGAACAGGGTTCGTAGTCTCCAAGACCAACAAAATTCGGGACTTTCAAAGACTTTTTCTGCCTATTGTCAAAGACTTTTCAAAGACCTTTGAGAGCAATCAGGTGTCGAAAAATTGCGATGTATAAGCACCATTTTTACCAGATAATTAGTCCCGTCAAATCACATCCTAAAATGCACTTTTTCGTCGACATTTGCGAAAATCTTGCTTCGATCAATCTATTTTATTAGCTAGGAAATCGTATAATCAAATAATCACTAAAGAATTTAAAGACTTTTAAAGACTTTCTTCGCTTTTTCACACAATTCAAAGACTTTTCAAAGACCTTTAAAGACCTGCATTCAAATGTAAAGACTTTCAAGGATTTCAAAGACCGCTACGAACCCTGTTGAAGAAAGTTTTGACGAAACGTCATTCTGAGGTCAGCGAACTGACCTTTTCCGACGATGTCATGACAGTGATGTACCTCCCTTGCGACAGAAACTTCTAGTATAGGATTAGATGTTCCCCATGCCGCATTACCCAATACATTTTATATCCCATCACCTTGACCGTATTGCAAATGTTTTCTACGTATAATATTTTTATGACACTGCTCTTTCTAGAGGCCCAGCAAGGTCATTCCCTTATTGCTCCAGTGTCACTACAGGAGGAAACCAGACGGTACCTGGAGAGAATCTGCGATGTTTGGTAGAGTCAAACTGGAAGCACTCTTCAGTCATGTGACTGAAGTGAAGGACAAATCTTTATAAACCCTAGCCTTGTTTACGTTTTGCTTGCAGGCAAATTCGATTAACAAGGAATATCAACACAATATAAATGACGTCCTGTTGGGATAAACGTAAATTTTCCCGCCCGTATTAAATCCTCCCCTCCCCAAACAACTTTGAACTTTGGACCAAAAACTTTGGACTTTGTCTTTGCTCTCGCTGGAAACCAGCCTTTGTAGATGAATGGGCCACCCTGCCTAAATATAGTCACTTTACTTCACTTCGGCTATTTTCGGTCGATTGTGCAACTATAACGGATAAAACTACAATAATCAATTATACCATACTTGATACTTTACCTTCTGTTTAAAATCGCTTTGGGGTATTAAAAACCATGTAATTTTGCGACAGAGCATTACAGTACGGCAGTGATCAAATGAAAATCGAAATCAATAGTGTGTGTCTCCCGCACTTAGCTTCTTTGCTTACAATCTTAATTTGCATAACAAAACATAAAAACAGACTTTTAGTTTTACTGCGGTGATTAAATTTTAATAGCTAAAGGCAGCCATACTAGACAATTCCTGTATTCATGTTAAAACGTGCTCGGCAACTGAATACAAAATCAATGCATTCATATATATCAATAATTTCGTCACTTGGGTCTTATAGTGTAATACATAAAATCTACACTACAACCTTGTTTTGAATTACTGTTTAATCATGCATTCAAAAAATGTCAGCAAGAATGCCTTTCAGTTTTGATCGATCCTTAATGAATGGATGATCCATTGAATTTGCGAAAGTTCTTTGCCTTCTTTGTCCATAAATTGCAACAACCCAACAATTTGTTGTCAAAAAGATTAATTATACCTACGTGGAACAAAATTTATAGTTACCTTAAATTAAAGTCCGCTTTTGTGTACCTCGCTGTGTACCTTCGGAGTTCAGACTTTGAAATTCGACACAAATAATTGAATATTCAAATAATGGAATATTACGTGCCAAACTCAAAACATGCTCTCAAAATATGACAGGCATTCCGACAAGTTAGACAGGCACGGGAAAAAATACAATTGATGAATACGGAAAAAGTTACTATGTAGAACAGCTGTATGCGGAATCGTATCAGTAATTTAAAACGCATCATAAAACATTCTTTTTTCAAAGTAACAAATAATTGATCTTAAAGAATAGCATATCCGGGTTTTTATAGGCCCCACCGAGTTTACGGTTTATTAAAACCTTTTTATATATTGTGATCTTGTTTCTAAAAAGTAATTATATACCGATTCTATAAGAGAACGAATCAATTCAAGCCGACAATTTGAAAAAAAAAATACAAGATGATGCATGTATTTGGAATTCTTTAAATCAAAGGTTTTAAATAGATAAAGGTCAAGTGGTCTTACTGTGTTCACATAAATAGAGAATTTCATGCTAGTATTCTGTGTATGAAACCTTTCCTGTGACCAAATATCAAATATTGTTGGAGTGTTTGGAATAAGCGGAACACATCTTGTTTGTAAGATGTTTTATATTCGGGATAAACGAACAGGTGTGCAAATAAGACTGAATTGACATGAATGGGAAAATAATTTGCATCCGAGCTGCAAACTATATTTTCTTGCATAAAGCATTTAATAGGAAGCTTTTGTTGTGTTTAGTACTTTAGATTTCAGAAGATAAGTATTGTTCTACAAAAAATTCGCAAAATCTAGAACTGAATTTGAACTTGGTAGGGAAATTTACGAATTATATCTTCCCTTTGTTAACTATCTATGGAGTAGCTTTATTAAAAACAGCAAGATACTGGATAAAATTTCAAAATATTTTATAAATAAAACTATCAATATACCTTCAAATCGTAGGATAACTTCGACTAATTCACAAACGACAACTAAATACTGTAAATGATCTGTCTCTGTACCGACATCTGTGCTGTATGCTATTTCAGTAGCAAGGCATTCATTTTATCAGCGGATCAATAACAAATCGAAAATTGATCAAATTAAATGCTTGTAAACAAGCAGGCAGAGTGGGTTTATAAGCAGACACGCGTACTGATAATAACCTTATATAAACATCAAGATTTCTGGTGTTACAGTGGCTGTGTTGAAAATTGAAATACACGTCCTTTGTGGTAGGTTTTCGTCATGCAAAAATTACACTTAGAGATGGCTTTGCTAAGCACTGGCGCACAGCAGATGCTGGTCGACCAGCAGTTATCAAAATGAGAAAATAATGTTAATTCTTCAATTTAGTTCGCTTGTTCCTAAAATTGTCAACTGGCATGTAGTTATCAACCAATATTTCGAGGCATGCGCGCGAGAATCTACCACAAAACCAAGTGTTAAATTTATATGAACTTACGTCTTACCAAATATAAAGCGTTTGTAGCCAAGTGTGACCTTCTATTCTCTTTGCTCCAAACGTTGAACTGTCCGGAGTTGAATACGGCCAAAACCTGTGATATCTAATTGTGTTCTATTAAACTTTGGTCTGTGTATTTTCAAGCACTGAGCGATTCCACGCACGCATAAACAAACTTTAGCCTTGTCAACATATCCCATGACTTTTCAATATCTCGTGACCAATTTATCACACATGGGTGCCACAATTACACTATTTGTAATTTGGTATTCTAATTAGAGTAATCACGTTGTAATTGAAAGGACAGCGGTGTGAGATACAACTACCTGAAAGATATAAGCAGAACATAAAAATTATCTGCACAAAATAAGCAAAGGTATAAGCAGGATTTTCAGCCAGTTGTATCTCACCATAGGCATAGCTGTCTTAATGTTGACCATGCAGAACGTTCACTGATGAGTGGTTGTTTGTGAATGGTTCTTTTCTACCGTCCTGAAGTGTTAAGTGACATCTTGGAATTTCCACTTAGTTTCACCGTATTTCAAGCTGCTATTTCTCATGTTGATAATGTGCTAGTGTTTGATACGTTTATTGTTTCGTTAATTCAAGGCTAGCGCAGACTGAACTTTTAAGGTTCATTATGATTGTCTACTGAGGTTTTGTCTTAGAGTTCAAAGATAAATCGCGATAGTTTAGCAAGTTGTCAAGATTATTCTACCCAGACGTCCTTATGGGGCTCCAACCCCAGACGTTCTTGTGGCTCCAAGGTTGGAGAAATGGAGCCATAATTAGGACGTCTGCGAGGCAGGCTACTCTCAAACAGTACAAGGACAACGGATGTAAGGCTATGATTTTACGGACATGGAAATAGGATAACCCGTTTACCCCATCGCTAGGATAAGGCTAGGCCCTTGCGATTAGATATATTAGAGCTGGACAACTGGACCTCAGTTGGTTTGCGATCTCTCGCAGCGAGTAAAAAATAGTTCAAAATTTTGAACTATTCCCTGCGAGCGGTAAAAGATTTGCAGAAAGTCTGCGAGTTCTCGCAGCTAGGAGCTTCGTGCGAGGACTGGAAATCCGCCTTTAGAGCGCTGTACTGGAATCGCAGGGCGATTAATGAGTATAAGGCTAGGGTTCTTTAACTTCTTTGTTTCACTTCATTTGCATTAGGTTCGGCGCATGAGAAGTTCGAAGTCCTAACTTGGTGTCGATCTCCACAAACCAAAACGTATACACTATACAGTATATTGTACTCTCGCCATGCAAAAAAAAAACTACAAAGAACTTTAATATCACAATTTATCACAATGAGTATATCAAAGCGATGAATAATTGGATGGCATTCAGAACAGTGGGATTTTCAAAACAATAAAAAGACAATCAGCGGTGGGACATTGTGACTGCATTACGCTGCCGGTGAAAGATACCCTTGTCGGAAGATAATCTTACCGGGGAAAGATATCTGGTCGGAAGAATGAACCTACCGGGGAATGATGCCCATGTCGGAAAGATGATCCTACCAGGGAAAGATGCCCATGTCGGAAGTATTGCCCCACCAAGGAGAGAGATGAGATGCCACGGGAGAAAGGCACCTTCTGCCTTACTTAGCAGGCGTTTGTTAGAACAGATGTTAATTAGGACTTGCAATATAATAAACTTTAGATATTAGAGATGATACTAGAACGTTGCGGTATAATATTGATGTTATCAATAAATGATCACGTTTCTTAAATAAAAGCTTTGCAGTGTTTCCATTTATACATGACAACGAAAAAGAATTTGAACTATTACACTTTCCGAGTAAACTGCCGTTAGACGTCCTAGCTACTAACGAAGTAGGGTGCATTACGACATGCAGTTTCGATATTAGACCACAAACAAAAAACTTTGACAAAGCCGTGTTGTTGGATATCAAAGCAGTTATAATTAATTGTCGAAGCCACAAAGACAGTTAGATTTAATTGACCGATACAAACAGATTCACTGCTAAGCAACATTTAATCCTAACATCAACGGGGTTTTGAAAGCCATTAGATTTATACCGTAGCCGTGTTTCACCGAACGAACAGATGGCAGAAAACCTACAGTTATAATCAGACCAGGGAATTATCAGACATATGATGAAGCATAGCCTATCGAAGGGAAGATGGCTGTGAAACTCATTAGAAAAACAATATAACTCATTATCTATGTTAGTCAACGTTTATTCATAATAATAGCATAGTTGCCCGGGTTTCTTTTGTTTCAACAGGGTCGATTACTAACTAATCGCCCGCTGTAGCGGGCGATTAGTTCTAATCGCCCGCTAGAGCGGGCGATTAGAACTAATCGCCCGTTACCAAGGGTCACACCTTTGTCTCCCTGACGACTACGCATTAGGCAAGTGCCTCACGCACATAATCGTGCAAGGAACAGCAACAGTTAGCTCAGAGCCGTCAATACTACGGATGTCACCGAAGTGTGCGAGCCACTAAAATTTCGCACGACCGCCACGCCCACAAAGCGTTAGCGACCCGCCCACAAAGCCATACGCGTTTTGTCTCAAAACTTTCTGTGTTTTTCTCCGTGTATTCGAGCGTGTATTTGTTTATACTGAAAATGATGTCTATGAAAGGAAAAAGGTACGAATTTAAAATCGAATATGACTCATATGGTCATGGCATAAGAAATATTCTAAATTTTTCTTACGCGAGGAAGAGATAAAGCGATTTAAAGTTCGGAATTATTAGTGAAATCGAGAGTGAAATACGCACGCAGGCTACTTCATCTCAGAGCAGTGAAATCAGCTCAAAGTCTAAAGAGATTTTACTCGCCGTCTCCTAATAGTAAGCAAAACACTCCACGTACAAAAACGATTTAGAAGTAAACGTATAATTTAATATCATGACAATATATGAGGCCGATTCGCACGGCGTAAACAAACAATTAGTCTTGTTATGGCCAGGGTTATCTGGCGCCAAACTTAATGAAATCTTCAGATTTTCGGAAACTCTCTTCAAGTTCCAACAAATCTTGCTCTTTCTCCTCAATTGTTACTCGCAGCTTTTGTTCGTCCGTTTCAACTTTATCAAAATATTTCTGTGTCGGTGATATGTATTGTTCTATATTGGGGTATTCAAACCCAACTGGTTCGTCTTGGCCCGGACAACACGATCTATTCTAAAAGACCACACGAGTCAGAACACGAGTGAACACGAGTGAACACGAGACAACACGAGTGAACACGAGTGAACACGAGTCAGAACACGAGTGAACACGAGACAACACGAGTGAACACGAGTCAAAAAATTGTGAACACGAGTGAACACGAGTCAAAAACTGACGAACACGAGTGAACACGAGTCAAAAATGACGAACACGAGTGAACACGAGTCAAAAATGACGAACACGAGTGAACACGAGTCAAAAATGACGAACACGAGTGAACACGAGTCAAAAATCTGTGAACACGAGT